GTATAAAAACTCTGTTTGCCTGATATTTCTAATGTTGTATCGTGTGTGTATGTCTTTATGAAACAAGAAAATTTTGAAGTTAATGTGGTTAATGTAACAAAAGTTTTAAGACTTGTCTCGGTCTTATGTTATCATTTGCAAAAGCTATTCTTATCAAATTAAAAAAGTTGATTGTTTTAGTAGAATTTGTAAAGTAGTTAAACTATGTTATGTGTAATCTAAATGAGAAACACATGATTTGAATATAGGGTAAACAAAAGTACAAAATGATATTTCTTTAACCTTTCCATAGCTTCAGAACTTTATCTTTACCACCAGAGGCTACTTTCTCACCATCTGGACTCCAATCCACAGCATAAACCTTTCCATCACAAAAACAAACAAATTATAAGAGAAAACAAGTTTTCGGATTTCGCTAAAAACTCAAGCTTCGGAGATGATTTTGATACCGGATCGGAATGACCAGAAAGATTTTGTTTTAACCTTTTTGTTCTTATATCCCATATCTGTGCAAGTAGACAGATTTTGAAGTTTATTTGGTTGTTTTCTTCAAACGAAAAAATTTAATCTACTGTTTATATATGTAAAACAAGATTTTACCTTGAGAGTAGAATCTTTACTGCCACTCAAAAGCATTCTACTATCAGCAGACCAAGTGATCTGATGGACACGTCCAACATGGCCTCTAAATTTTGTAACGTAGTCCCCTGTGAAACCATTCCATAGCCTCACAGATCCATCGAACGATCCACTTGCAATCCATTGTCCATTTGGTGAGAAAGACACATGGTTCACAAGCTGTTGATTGACTCAAAATTAGAAACTAGAAGCAAACACGAAAAAGAGTGATATTCAAGTTAGCTAGTAGTAACCTGTTGATGACCCGTCGAGCGATTTTTACGTTTTAAGCTAACAGATGGTTCCCAAAGGTTCATTGTACGATCATCAGAACCTGACACTAATCTTTCAGGTGAATCTTTTGTTCCTTTTGCTTTGTTGTATCTTTCGAGCGCAATCTATTAAGGGACATGATCAGAATCAAGAAGCTATAAAGGGAAGAAAAAGCCTATAGAATCAGAAGCTTTATTACCTTTTTCATTTCTTCATCTGAAGATATTTCTTTTCTAGTATGATCGAAAGCTCCTGTCCGAAGAACGTAATCTGTACTCAATGAAAGAGAATTCACCCAATGGCCATGCTCCTGAAGAAGCAGAGTTCATTAGAGGAATGATTTTGAAAGAAAGGCAAAGATTTCATTTTCAGAATTAACCGAAAAACGTTACCTTCAATACATGTTTAAATTTCCCTTTAGTCTCCCACATGATTATCGTACGATCCTCGGAACTGCCACAACAAAAAGACTTGTTAACAAGATAAAGATTCTTACAAATTAAGATTCACTGGTTTTACCAACAATGTAATTATCTTAAGTTTTCAACCATAATCTACATTGAAATATTTGTGGATGCATAAATCTATAAAAGACCGATAACTAAGATTCACATTATTAGAAATGTACCCTGTGTATATAGTTCCATCTCCACCCATTTGACAGAAGTCACAGCTTTTGTGTGTCCACTAAGAGAAATTAGAGATTTTCTTAATTTAAAGTCCCAAATTTTTGCACTTCCATCTAGGCTACAAGTAACAAATCTCCGGCTTGGACAACTGAGATGAGCTGGTTCCCACGCGATACCAGTAATCGCTTTCCTGTGCCCCTAATCAAGAGAAGGTTAATAAGATCAAGATCAATATCATCAGTACCAAAAACATATTAAAGATTCAACAACATAACTTACTGAAAGTGGTTTGCCTTGTAATTCTCCTTTGATTGGATCCCAACAACATACTTTACCATCTTTATCACCACTCACAAGACACTTAGCATCTGGTGACCATGCAATTGAGAGAACATGATTCTTGTGCCCTGAAAACATTACAGAACATAAAGAAAGGAACAATATATACACTGAGACATAAACTTAAAAAAGCAGAAGACTTTGTCAAACCTCTGCATGTAAACATTGGAGTTTCAGTGTTCAAATCCCAAAGCCTAACAGTGTTATCTCCTGAACCACTGGTAATTGCATACCATCAGGACTAAATGAAACACAAAGAACCGCACCAACGTGACCTAATATTCAATCAAAGCCAAAACATAATCACTTGAAACCATTTTTGGAACTCTAATATGAAGTTTTTTGACATTTACATACATACCAGCAATTGTTTGCGAGCAACGGTTAACGGGACGAATTCGGAAAACAGCTTGTTCTTGATAAACTATCTTCAAAACCTTCTCCACAGATACTGACATTGTACCATAACATTGATAAAAAACATATCAGATTTTCATTGAGACATACATAAAATCACAAAACTTACCTCTATTTGTCTCCATGTAAGATCCAACCGAGACTAGAAGCTCTTCGTCTGATACATAGAAACTATACGGTAACATCTCTTCCTAAAACAT